TTTTAAGAGCAAGGTCATGATAAACACAAAACTCAATTTACTTACTACCTTGAGGAGAGGTGTAGGTAGTGATATGAGACGGGGAAGGACCATGGTGGTGGCGTCAATGGTATTTTAAAGGTTCTAATTTTAAGTTTGTTGGTAGGTTCACAGGTGTGCATTATTATGCTTCCCAATTTTTATTTTGTTATATTTTTCTTTTCTATGTATCATCTAGGACATAATAACTTAATTTTTTTTCAAATGGATCAAAAATTTAAGTGTGAACAATGAAACCATAAAAGTACTAGACGAAATCATAGGATAAATTTTAAAAATATTATCTTGCCATGATGAAGGCCTTTCTAAATATGATAAAAATCCAAAGTACTTAAAAGATTGAGAAATTGGGTAAATTTCAAAATGTAAAAAGTTAAAAGGCAACAACCAACTAGAAAAAAAAATATGTGCAACTCATGACAAAGGGCTAATTGCCTTAATATATATGTACTCCTACAAACCAGTAACAAAAGCCAATCCTTTATAGAAAAATAAGCAAAGGATATGAACAGACGGTTCACAGAAAAGGAAAAACAAACAGATTTTAAATACATGAATGTGTGCTAAACCTCAGAGTAAGAGACATGGAATTCACTGGGATATCACAGTTGACTTAGACGATGGAGAAAGATGAAAAGAAAATATGGTAACCACTGCTTGTTGCAGTCCTTTCTCAACCCTGAGATCACTTGCCTTCATTCCTTGAAGATTTTAGTCCTGGGTCACTATATATACTCTTGAACATTGGTCCTGTCATAATTCTTGGTGATTTCAATATCGATATAGATAGATAATTCTTCCAACACATTCTCTTCTCCATTCCTTGAGCATCTCTCTCTTGCAATGTCCTGTCTTCACCCACCCTTGGTCGCAAATTACCAATAAATGCAATTCCCAAATAATTCTACCTATAGGCAACCCACTCTCTAACCTCCAGCTCAACTCCTTATTAGTACCTCAACTCCAATAACTCTTTGGCCCCCTCAGGACCTATGTTCCATCCATCCTGCCTTCTCTTCCCTCCGCTGCATTCCTCTCCTCACCCAACTTAAATCCCGTTCCATTTTTGTAAACACCCCTTGCATATGCTTACACTCTCTGGCCCTCTCATGTTTCATTGTACTCACCTAGCCCCTAACTCTGGTCATAAGCCATCTCTCACCTGTTCTATACCTGCATTTGTGCAGCTCTGCATGGCTGGAGAAAACTCTCACTTTAAATTATGACCACAAACCTCAGGGGGCCCCTTAGTACTGCATGGCAATCACAAGACATTTCCATGTTCCATTCACTTCTCTGGCACGACTATTTCATGCCCTAGTGTCTCCCTTTCCATCCTCATCCTCAACTCTTGACCCTGTTTCCTATTTCATTGAGAAAACAAAGCAATCTGAAGAGAATGTCTGCAAGCTCCCACATTGGATGTACCCTTTTACCCATTTTTGTGCCCAGGTTCTGTCTTCCCTGCTGTTTCCATGGATAACTGTCTATGTTCCCAGCTAAAAATCAGTCCTGTGAATGCGATCCCATACACTTTGTCAACTAAAGGACATGGCTTTAGCAATTCTCTCTTCTATCTCGTGCATCACCATTTCCCCCTTTCCTATCGGGTTTTTCACACCAGCATGTGAACAAGCTAGATCTTTTTTTTTCTTGGCCTTAACACTGTGGTCCAGCCACCACCCCATTTCTTTGATCCTTATAGAGCAAAATTCAAAAGAATTTCTCTAGTCATTGTCTATAATCTCTCTTCTCCCATTCTCTCTTAGACTTACCCTCGTCAGGCTCCTGCCTCTCCACTCCACTGAATAGCTCTTGTTGAGGTCACCAGTGTCCCCCACATTGCTAAGTTCAATGGTCAATTCTTAGTCTCTTTTTATCATACCCACAAGCAGCATCTGATGCAGTTGACTATTGCTTCCTTTTTGGAATATTTTCTTATCTAGGCCTCCAAGACACTCCACTCCCCTGATTTCCCTCTGCCTGCTCCTTCTCATTCTTCTTTGCTGGTTCCACATCTCCATGACCTCCAAACACTGGACACCCCAAGATTCAGTTCTTGAACTTCTATTTTCTATCAACATTCATTCCCTCAATGATTTCATTCATTCAAATTTCTATCTGCAGGGCCGGCTGAGTGGCTCAGCTGGTTAAGAGCTCGCTTGGGAGCACCAGCTCTGAGCAGCAGGGCTGCAGTTCGGATCCCACCACATTGAGGGCCAGTGATGCTGCGCCCTCTACAGCTAAGATGATGAACAACAGCTCGACCTGGAGCTGGGCTGCCGTGAGTCACCGGTGACGGTGAAGGCTACAGCAGGGCTGCAGTGGACTGCCGTGAGCTGCGTGAGTGTCCGGCAGCTGGTGAGCTGCCGGGAGCCACTGTGAGTGGCCAACCAATGACCAGTGACCGTTTACCTCACCCAGGAAGAGTGCAATGATAATACCAACATGGGGCCAGTGAAGCGACGTCCTCCACAACTAGACTGAAGAACAAAAGGACAGCAACTTGTCTGTTCCCCTCCCCTCAACTCCCCAATAAAATCTTAAAAAAAAAAAATTTCTATCTGCAGCCTGGACCTTTCCCTTGAGAGCCATACTCATGTTTTCAGCTGTTTTTTCAACATCCGCACCTGGATGTTAAGTAAGCATCTTAACTATAATGTGTCCAAAACTGAATTCCTGAACTTCCTCCTCCCCAACCTGCTCCTCCTGAAATCTTGCCCTTCTCAGTAAGTAGAAGTTCTTTCTGAGTTGCTCACAGACAGAAACCTTGGCAAGGCAGTTGAGTTCTCTCTGTTACTTTGTTTCTCCTTCCATAACAAATCCTGTCAGTTCTGCCTGTGAAATATATCCAGAATCCAACCACTCCTTATAACCTCTTGTTATAACACCCCTGGTCTTGGCCTCCATCATCTCTCACCTGGGTAACTGCAATGGCTTCCTAACTCATCTCCCTGCTTCCACCCTTGCCTCCTACAGGTCATCGTCACCACAGGAGCTAGTGTGAACTTGCTGAAATAGAAATCAGGTCATATCATTCTTCTCAGCATCCCCAGTGGCTTCCACATTATTCAGAAGAGGAGCCAAAGTTCTTACAATGGCCTACAATCATGGCCCTTGCAGCGTTCAAGGCTCTGAATGATCTTGCCTTCCTTCTGTGCTACCCATTAGCTCTCCGACATCACCTCCTCCCACTGCCCCTCTCGATCCAGTCACCTGAGCCTTCTTGCTGTTTCTTAAACACACCAGCTACACTCCAGCCAAGAACATCCCCCCCCCTGGTTCATACATCCCTTACTTCCTTTAGGTCTTAGCTCACATGTCATCTTTTCAGTGAGGCCTTCCTAACATATTCTAAAATTGCAATACTCCCTTCCTGGGCACTCTCTGACCTGTCCTGATGGCTTTCTTTTTGTCCTTAGCCGTTATCACCATCTAACATGCTATATATTTTATTCATTCAGTGAGTTTATGTTTATCTCCTCTACTAGATTGTTAGCCCATGAACACAAGGCTTTTTGTGTATTTGGTCACTGCTTAATCCATAGCATACAGAAGAGACCTGGCATAGAGTGGATGTTTAAAAGTTATTTGTTGAATGAATAAACAACATACTTAATTGGCCGGAGTATGGGGAACAGGCATTCTCAGAATTGCTGGTATGAATGTCAATTGGTATAATCTCTACACAGGATAAATTGGCAATAATTATCAAAATTACAAATGCACGTATCTTTTGACCCAACAATCTACTTCTAGTAATATCTTTCATATAAATTCATACATGTACAAAATGACACATGGACAAAATAATGTACTGTAGCATATTTTATCCCTGAAAAAAGAGTGACAACAGCTAAAATGTCCAGCAATAGAGACTATTTAAAGAAATTATGGTCCATCCATACAATGGAATATTTTGCAGTAGCAAAAAAATAATAATAATAAGGAGACTTCTTGTGTCTTGATATAAGTTCATATATATGTATGATATATATATATATATAATCATATATATACACATATTCTATATATACATATATACATATATGTGAGAGAGAAGGTTGCCACCATTTTTATAAAAATAAATGGGAAAATGCAAAAATAATATGTATCTGTATTCTCTTATATATGCACAGATTATCTCAGGAAGGATACCCAAGAAACTGCTAAGAATGATTGCCTATTTGGAAGGCAATGGATGGGTCAGAGGCAGAGGTGGGAGATGCTGCAAACCCTTTTAAACTTCTTGAATTTTTGCACCTTGTGAATGTTTTACCTATTAGAAGAAGAGCAAGGCAGGGTTTATGTTCCAATACGAATGATTTGTTTTATATATATATGATGAATTTTAAAGAAATGTAAGTACAAAAGAGTGTATGTAGTATGCTATACATAGTGGTGGGGGCTGACTTACTTTTTATTAGTTACTCTTTTGAACCTTTTGAATTTTGTACCTTATATATGCATTTCCTACTAAAAAAATAAAATAAGCTTTAAAAATCATAAATCATGGTAGGAGAATGAATTTTCACACGTATCACCTTGACAACCGTATGACTGAAACCTGTCAAGTATCTCCCCAGTTTTCATACGAAGGAAACAGACATTCAGAGAAGTCAAGTCAAACAGTACAGAGGTGGCATCTGGGCTAGAATCCAGCTTTCCCAGTGCCGCCCATGCCGGTCTCCCCACCCTTCCAGCCTCTCTCTGGGGCTGGTTCACTTCTCGCCCCTCATCCCCATCCCCATCCTCTGCTCTTCCTGGGCTCCTTCTGTCAGAAAACACTGCTCCTAAGCCCAGCCCCAGAAAGTTTGCCAAGGTTTCTTTCAGGGGGTCATGGCTGGTGGCTCCCTAGTACCTGACAGTTTCTCCCTCTGCTGGAGCCACCGCAGTGTTCTGTGACTGAACCCAGCCTGCCCAGACCTGACAGCTCCCAGGTCCCCTCCCCCAGCCTGTACCTGTCAATAATGACGGGGTCTGAGGGCGTCTCATTCCGGTTACCACAGCTCTTCCGGTCACAGCATCGGCTGATGGAAAGATGAGGAGGAGGAAGGGAATAAAGGACAGGGAAACTACTCTGTGTGTGTGTGTGTGTGTGTGT